TTAACTTTCGTCCTTTATAACTATCTCAATCATATCTCTCATATTAAATTTAAGTGAAACAGTCGCGTATACCTAACAATAAGTCTCTCTTCAAGATTTCATTGGCTGGGGTCATCAAAGATGTGGCCAGATTCTGCAGGTCATGTGACATCTGCCAGAGAACAATATCTAGAGGAAAGGTAGCCAAAGTGCCACTGGGTGAGATGACTCTCATAGAAGAGTCGTTCAGCAGAGTAGCTTTGGACTTGGTCAGACCACTAAGCACCTTTATCTGACAAGGGCAACCAGTACATGCTGACTGTAGTCGGCTATACAACACATTACCCAGAAGCCATAGCGTTGCCAAAGATAGAGAAAGAGAGAGTAGTAGAAATCTTCCTGGAAGTTTTCTGTTGACTAGGCTTCCCAAAAGAAGTCTTGAGTGACAGATGGACCCAGTTTACCTCAGAACTGATGAAAGAGGTGTGCAAACCTGTGCTTTACCACCCTGTGTAACTGTAGATGTAATGAATTTTGTGAGATAGTGAATGGAGTCTTCAAGAGCATTCTGAAAAAGATGTGCCAGGAGAGACTGCGTGATTGGTACAGGTACCTGCAGGCAGTATTATTTGTTAATTAAGAAGTCTTACAAGCAAGTACATGATTTTCACCCTTTGAGTTGCTGTATGGAAGAACAGGACAAGGTCTGATGCAGATATTGAAAGACCTATAGACAGAAGAAGAAGAGTCAGAAGTGAGTAACACATGCTAGTACATATTATACATCAGAAACCGACTGGAGGAGGCCTTTCAGCTAGCTCAAGAGCATTTGTATGCAGCTCAAAGCAGTAAGAAGTACTTCTATGACAAGAAGGCCAAGAATCAATGATTCAAAGTCGGACAGAAGGTCTTAGTTCTGCTACAGACAACAAAAACTCACCTTGCAGTGGAAAGGACCTTTTGAAGTAGAGGAAGTTCCCAACAGAATGGACTATTAGGTGAAAATGAATGGGAAGACCAATATCTACCATGTCAATCTGATGAAGAGGTACTACAAGAGGGAAGAAGACGTAATGGTTGTAGCTATTAAGGCACAGACGGAAATGGCAGGTGTAAGTGTCATAGATGCAGAATCAGAAGACAGTGACTTTGTCATAGAAGATAAAGACCTGCTAGATCTAAGATCACTGGGTGAAGATGAGATGTACAAGAACATCAACATAAGTGAAGAACTGAGTGGAAAGCAGGGTAAAGACCTACAAGAGCTACTGTGCCAGTACCCAGATGTGTTCACAGATAGATTAGGGAAGACAGACATTGTGTAACACAAGATCGAGACTACGACCAGGGATTCTGTCAAGGTGAAGCCCTACCAGATGCCCTATGAAATGAGAGACCAACAAGAGAACTGCAAATGTTGTTGCAGACTATATGAGAAGACTTTGTGTATGAACTGAAAACAGTCTTTGTATATAGTGTAAAAAATATTGTAAATATTTTTCTTGCTGGTGATTCTGTCTGCCATCTTCTTTGCGCCTAGGTGTCCTCCCACAATCAACTCATAAGCCAGCTTCATCACTTGAATACGATATTCTGTTCGTACTATGTTCTGTTTAACTTCCCCAGTAGAACTGCCTTGATAGATCTGGTACATCTCTCTCTTTTTATCCTCTATTCTTGTGCTCCACTTCCTCCCTGGCACTGTCCCAAAGTTTCTGTAGTGGGGGTCTTATTTCTGTGCTTTCTTCAGTTCCTGTAGACCTACATTCGGATGTCACTTTTCGAGACTTGAAGGGGCTTGATGTCTTGCTTGCTCTTCCTTTGGTGAGCTTTTGTGGTGACTACAGACACCTCATCAGACTTCTTTCTGTCTGGTTCCTCCAAATTTCTACTGCCCAACATATTGCCAATCACCAAGTCATAGATGTATGCCTTCATACACGTGGCTTCGAGGTCTCCCGTGTCGTATGGAGTATCCACCTTTATTTTTGTTATGGGAAACTTTCTCACTATCCCATCAATCACTACTGCACCCAGTGTCTCGTAGGACCTTCATTTTCTTGTCCCCGACATAGCCTTCATTTTCTTGTCCCCGACATAGCCTTCATTTATTGGCATGTTGTGATTTGTTGGCATCTCTTGGTGTTTATCAACTGCTAACTTGAGCTGACCATCAGTCGTGCATTGTTTAACCATGGAGATAGCATTTCCTTCTTGTGGTGAACCTGGCGTATTGTGTCCATTTTGTTTCTTCTGGCAGTGGCATCCTGCAAGATGACAGCTACTCTTTTTTGTTTTTTGCCAGGACTATCTCTGTAGGTAGCTCCAGCTGCTTTATGTTGAAATTTCTGCTGCTGCTTCTTGATGACAGACTCGCACTTTCTAGCAATGTGCACCATTTTATAAAAAAGCATAGCATATCTTTACTTTCTGATGAGATTTCTGTTGTTGATTGTTGGTGACAAACTTGAACTCACTCACAATGTGTCTCATTTTATAACAAACATAGCATTTCTTCTTCTTTCTGTTTGTTGACTTTTTGTCACTTTTGGTGGCATCCTCCGTCTGATCAGTCACCCCTGTTTTCAACTTTAACTGGTTATTCTTGGACTTGCCAGTTATACTCCCTTCCAGCTTGTTGATTTCATCCACGTCTTTTGGTGCTCTCTCCTGTAGGAGCAGTGACTTGTCAGTTGAGCACGTCATCATGAGCTGTTCACGAATTAGTAGATCTGTCAGTCCTTCAAAACTATTTTCACACCTGGCCATGTCAGTCCACCATGTGAAGTATCACCATAGACGTGCCACAAATTGAAACAAAGTTTCTCCAGTGTCAGGCTTGACTTCTTTGAACTTCCAACATAAACCTTCCTTGGTAAGCTTATAACATTTCAACAAAGCACTTTTTACTTGACATAGTCCATGACATCTTCTGTTGTCATGCCTGCATATACTTATAGGCCTTTTATTGTGAGAAGTGAGCTGAGACAGACTGCCCAGTCACCTTTGTCATACTTCTGATATTGTGTGAATCCTTCTTTCTGTTCATCAGATTTTGGCAACTTGGGTCAACTGGTCCTGACTCCATCGTCATTCTTGGGTCCTTCATCTTTCTGTTGAGTGGGCTTGCAATCTCAATTTGTACTCTTATTCTCTCTATTTCGAGTCTTTCCCTTCTCTCCTTTTCTTTTTCTTCTTTCTCAATTTGTATTTTTGTTCTGTCTATTTCCAGTTTCTCCGTTCTCCTTTTCTTCTTTCAGTCTTTCTCTTTCCCTTTTTTCTTTTAGTCTATCTTCCTCTCTTCTCTGTCTCTCCTTCTCCCTCTTCTGTTGCCTCTCCTCTTTAGTTGTTGTTGTTGTTCAACAAACTCTCGTACACTACCATCTTTTAGCCCAAGTTGCTCACCTCTCTCTGTTCATTTATCCAAATCAGTCGAAGTGGTTATATAGCGTGATTGTAATCTCAACACTATTTTCGCCACCACTACAGTTGTGCATATATAGGCCTACTTCAGCTGTCGTCCACGTCTTCTTCTTCTACTGCATTTTACCATTGTATAATCTTGGCTGGCTCACCAAATTTCAGGTTTCTATAGGGCTGTGATTCTTTACAATAAGTGTCTGTAACTTGTTGGCGATATATTTCAACAATAAACAGGCAGCACACAATCCACAAAATATTCAGATTTACATTCTTTTAGAATGGTTACAAACTTTCACACATAAAAAAGTCTTCCTTATCTAAGTTTAGAAATGTCTAGATGCTATGTCCTCCTTATTTTCATCAGTGAGATAACCAGTGATGTGGATAGTATCTGAACTCTGAGAGAAATGCTAATATTATTTTATGTATATAATGTCCTATTTTCTCAGTCTAAAATATATACAGAATTTCTTCAGACTCCTCTTTTTGTCATCTAGAAGTGCTGTATAATGTTTTGAGCACTCATCTTTGACTTGTTCTTTTTTTAAGTAAATAAAGACTGTCTTTACTTTGTTTAACATTGTATCCTATTTTGTAGTTCATCTCAATGAGTTTGTGGTTACTATCCAGAGTGTACCTGAGAATACCTCATCATTATATAGTTAGTAGTTGTTCACAAGTTAAGGCTATTATCACGTGGTGTGAATCAAATCCACATTTATTGGAATGAAACCACTGCTTCTTTTGTTAAATTTATATCTATGTTAAAATCACTGTCTGGATTCAGCTATCCGTCTCTAATTTAGCAGTGAAAGCCTAGAGGGAAGGCAGCTAGTCATCACCATCCGCCGCCAACTCTTGGGCTACTCTTTTACCAACGAATAGTGGGATTGACCGTCACATTATAACGACCCCACAGCTGAAAGGGCAAGCATGTTTGGTGTGACGGGGATTCGAACCCGCCACCCGCAGATTGCGAGTCGACCGCCCTAACCACCAGGCCATGCCGGGCCGTCTACTGCGTATGGAGATCAGGTTTTGGTTACAAACTTAAAAAAAGCCAATTTTGAAGAGATGTGATAATAATTACACGAGTGGATGGGAGAGTCTTGATGGACCAATAAGGTTCGTTATGGTTCTGATGCTTTATATTATGCTGTATTATGTTATAATGCGTAGATTCTACTGAATAATTAGTTGGATCTGTCTCTGTTTAAATTGGTATTTTTCGGTCGTGTTAGCTATTTTTGGCGTAATTTCATTGCTGTTTTCCCCTATTTCTCTGTAATATTCGAGAAAAATGGAATCATTATATTGAGTAGAAGGTGTTCAACGGCAAAACTGGCGAAGTGAAAAGTATTTCAGGTTATTATTTTTATGTATTTATTTTCTTTTATTTATTTATTTTAACATTTGTGTCTTTTAGTCGTTAGCGCCGGCTAACGAGGTATGTTTTGTCTTCGGGCAACTCTGGTAACATGCACTGACAACCAAATATACTTAGGTTTAGCGACCCGAAACTTTAAATAAGGAGGTAAGAAGTTTAAAGGTGACAGTTTAAAAAAATTATTAAAATGTATAATTATTCTAATATGACAACTTTAACCACAAGATTATTTCTTTAGTTTGATACTAGTTATTAATGCTATATAAAATTTGTAGAGTAACGTACTTATGGTGCCACCTGTTTAGAATCTAGAAATGATTCACGTGAGGTAAAATGGCAACGAGGTTGATTATATTATTTGAAATTGAAGTTCAACGGTAAGGAATATACACCCACATAAACTGAGCTTACCTGATTTTAATTTGAAAACTACATCATTTATTTTTTAATGTACTGTTTATTGGAAATTGCATACTGGCAACAGTATTAGTTAAGTAGTACTAGTAGTGGAATTTTAAACCTGAACTTAAATATTTCAACTTGTTTAAGTTTAACTTGAATTTGAAAGATTAACTTTAAGTAAAAAAAAAAAGAAAAACATGTTTAGCGTCCGGAGTTTTCGAACAAAAAAGGAGGTCCTTTTATTTCAAATGACCTCCTTTTAAAGAAAATTTGCACCCCTTTTCAGGATTGTTTCATGTTTTCAAATGGTCCACCTGAAACAGAAGTTTTATTTGTTTCGTTTTTTCATGAAAACGATACAGAATGTATGATAAATAAAGAAAAAAGGCAAAATGAATGAACCGTGTTCATTTCATTTTTTAGTTAGAAGTCTTTGTATAATCGAAAAACGATATTTGAAACATGGGAAAAAATCACACACAAAAAAAGAATTGCGAGTGGTGACGATAAACATGTGTTTTTATTTTTACTTGGTGTGGCTTGTAAGTGTAATCTTTAATTAAAGTTTTGGAAGTACACCACCATATTATTAAGATTACACCAAGTTAACAAAAGTTATAAGTATTTCACTTGTATTACCTTAAGAATACATTGTTAATGTTAAGATTATATATACAATAAGTTCTGATTAATAAAAGTTACTTCCAGGAATTAAAAGTAGTTTGTTTTATGGAAATTATTATTCATATAAATTACATCAATCCACATCATATAACATATAGAAACACCATTTCCTTTATGTATATCCACTCCTCATCTCTAAAATTCTCATCCAGTTTCCTCTTAAAACCTTCTCTGTTACAATTTCTGCCACATCTGAAGGCTAGCAGACCTGTTAGAAATGTAACACTGCCTTAACTGGAGTGGTGTCTGAGTTTTCCATACCTTAAATTTCTGCCTTCTAGTCTTGGTGCATGCATAATATTTTCTGAAAATGCCATCTGGATCTATAAACTCCAAAACTCACACAGTCTTAAAAAAAAAGTTTGTGTAACTCAAATCTTTTCTCTTTAGTAAAATTGTATCGATATATTTAAATTTATCCCTATACAATAACTACTTTGTACTGTATTGTGAAGAAATTGGGATGAGTGGACACAAGTTTAAGATTTGAAAAAGACAGGCCAGGCTCAAGTTAAGATAGTTTTATTTTTTAACAGGGTGATTGGCCTATGGAATGAGTTGCCATTGGCAGTAGTGGAAGCCAACAGTTTAAGAGGGGAATCTGTGATTTCCTGAAAAATAAAGGGTGGGTTTAAGTTTTTACTTGTTTTTACTTATATACTTAGCCTATAGTAATGAGCATTTTTCTACTGGAAGCACAAATAATCTGCTTTAACAGATTTCAATCCATATAGAGGAACTTATCAGGAAGTCTTTAGAAAAAAAGTTCCAGTGGGCATGGTTTTCTTTCTCAGATTTCAACATAAACACACAACATTTATCTCTGATAATCTTTCTGATAATCTTTCAGCTCATTTCTCATGACCCCCCCCTCCCCCGATACAGCAACCAAACCACTGCCAAATCTAACTTTATTCCAACATTTTCTGGTAGAGATATAAAAGGAAATTAAACTTGTTTTTATCAAAATTGTATTTAAATATTACATGCAAAAGAATTGAAATCTATTCACAAACAATAGATTTATGTCTTGAAAAATATTCAAGAAAATTTTCCAAAGTCATAGTTACCCTTAAACAGTTTCTAGTAAAGTCATTTGATACTTTTTAAGCACTATATTTTCTATGTTTGATCTGTAAAGAATATAATTAAAATTATTTTTGTTATGATATAATTACATTCTTGTTACTTACTAAGGTATCATGCCTTGCCAGCTTGTGCCTTATACACCATTAGACTTGATGTCTCACAAATGACTGCTGTAAAAAGTATTTTAACTAAGTCTATAAGCTGGAAACCTAGCTGGTCTGACAAGCTTTGATACTAAGCGTTGTACATTTGATACAATGTTAAATTCATAATAAAGTATTCTTCATTACCCATTCCAGCCATTTATAAACTATATTGTCACAAAGTGGGTTTCTCGTCATCAAATATAGTCTTGAAAGGTTTTAAAAACTATGTCCAGATCTTTTTCCTTATCCAATTCACCTAGTTTCTCCTGCAAAGCTATGAGGATGATATTGTGATAACCAATACACATAACCTTACTTTTATTAAGATAAGAAGGCATCTGGCAGGTGTTAGTTCATTAATAGTCCAAATCTTTGCAAAACCTCGGCATGTTTTGTAAAATTTTAAATTCACAATACTTCATAATCTACAAATTTAACCAATTTATTGGATATTCCTTTATAAACTAACTGACAACTTTTGTACCTGATGATGACAAAACTTTGTTGAAATGTATATTTTAATAAAGTGTACTTCATTACTCATTCATCTCTAAACTTCATTAAAACAGTGTTTATTAACTAATTAATAATAAACCAAATAAGATTTTGTTGCATCCCCTAGAAATATGGAGTGTAAGTCAAAGATGGTTATTAGTTCATTCTGTTAGGTGCTGGTTAAACTTCATTTGGATTATTGTGTTCAGTTTAGGTTCACTTGGTTAAAAGAGAATGTTGAATTGTTGGAGATGGTTCAGAGAAAATCCATTTTTAAAGGTTTTATCTTACAAGGATAGGGGGAAATCCTTGATATACATGTGTTTGGTGGAGATAAGGGCTTAGTTGGATGTAGAGAAATAATTTTCTGAACACCCCCAGTTGCATTTGACCCTAAACTCTCAGTTAAAGTTCAAACAGCTTTAAACCGGAATTACTGCCATGCTTTTTGTTTGATTAAGATTGTTCTAAAAGAGTTTGCAATCCATAACTCCAGTTGGCCATTTTCAAAACATTTTCAGACAGTAAGATTAGACGACAAGTATAAGATTTATTGGACATTGCCCCAATTAAGGCAGTGTTGCTTTTTTAGTAAAGTTGTTAACTTATGGAATATTTTGTTGTCTTCTGGTGTGGTAGAAGCTACAATATTGAAAGAGTTTAAGAGGAGAATGGATCATGGGTAAGAAAGTTTCTTATTGGGTATGGAAATCCATACTGATATGTTTTTGCTAGAACAGAACCAATACAAAATAAAGTCTTGCAGGAAAAAATATAATGGGACTTGGCTTATCAAGCACTTTTTTGTTTCATTTCATGCTCAAGGAATCTTTTTAATATAATTGTAATTGTGTTCTTCCACAGTGATTCATTTCATAAGCCTACTATAGGTGATAATCATTCATATGTTGGCAAAGTTGGAGAAAAAGATTTATTTGTGAATGCTTGGAAATTCTCAGTGCTGGTAAAATTTTGTGCTCACAAACATGGATTAGATGAGTATATTAAATATTAGGGTTGCTTATAAGGAAAGGGGTTTCTTTGTATAGTTTGGAATGGGTTCAAATGGCCACCTGTTATACCTTAGAAATGAAAGACATACCACAAAGAGTGTAGTTCAGTTGCTAATGTACATTCTTCTTCTTGGAAACCCGTATCAGGATAGCAAAGAGTGAGGTATATTGTAATTGAAACTATGACAAATCTTGCTTTGTTGAAATATTACACCCATGACCTATCCATAAAAACTTGTTTTTTGGTTTGATGCATTCTGCTCTTTTTTTTTTTCTCTTCCCCTTTTTCTTCATAGTTTTATTTTCATTCAGATACAGACTGACGTTGTTGACCCTTCTGTTCTGTTTAATGCTATTTTGTTCAGACTGAGTCATTTCATACTGTTCATAGATGTTTTTAAAGGTAACCTGTTCTCAAAATCTCCTTGGAGTTGGTTTAACATACTTTGGAAGGTTTCCGACTCCTTCATCAGATGTGACTTCATACCACATTTCCTTTAGTTACTAGTAGATGTTCTTTGGTTTATGTCTGTGTTACATCTCTTCCTCGTCTCATAAACTGTTTGAGTAATTGGTAATTATATTAGTATTTATTATTAATGTTTTGAATTAAGTTATAAAATGTTGCTGTTTTATTTAGATTATCATTCAGTATTTGACATGGGTTTGAGATTATGTTAACCTTCACATAATATGATTGAAATATTTCAAAGATACATGGCCTGAGAGTGTTTTGAGAAAACAGTGTTTATATTCACTTAACCACTAAATATCTTTTGTTAACCTTAATTCTTACCACAACTGTCATCCCAACTGGCCTGATGAGCCTTGGTATTGGACAAAAGGCCTTGTTCGCACTAGTTATGGCAGTTATGTAGTGTCATCAACTTATTGTTCTGTGCTTTCACTGACAAGTTCTTAGAATTTTAATGAGGGTTGTCAGTCTGTAGACATCTGGAGTGGTGAGAAACAAACAATTATAATGTCAAGGCATAACAGTATGTTCATTTTTCAGTTGAACACGCATGCTTTGTAATAGCTTCTGGTCTGAGTAGTTAATAGGGTCATACAATTTAAATCTATCTAAGGAAAAAGATTTATTACAACTTTAGGAAATATCATTATATTCATGATCCAGGATAACCTGTAAGTTTATTTTTGTAATTAGTGAGCTTTAATAAATGGTTTCTTACAGAATTTTTTACTATTGTACTTTTGTTATTTTATTTTTCATATAATTCAAAACATTCTTACCATTGAGCAGTTACAAGTGATTACTTTTTAAGAGCTGTTAATATATTGTGCCAAAGTTGAAATTGTGGAAGTAGCATGAACTTATGTTTTAAACATTGTATCACATACAAATCATGTACGAATATGTTGACGATTATATTGATGTAGATTTGATTTTATTACACTAAGAAGATGAAGTGATCAATGAAAATTTGGATAACATTGGAGTTTACTTTTTATAATGAAGTTTCCTTTGTATTGTTTATTAAGCATTTCATTTTACAAATATTTATTTATTTTTTAGAAAATATATGGCATCGCAAATATATAGATATCACCTGTGCATGTACATATGAATCGTATGTATATATATATGTATGTGTGTGTGTTTGTGTGATCCAAAAAAAAATGATAATAATGACTTAACTTTTGAAGTGTTGTATATAGATAAAAATGTTGAATGTTCCTGTAAATGCCATAAAAACTTTTGATAATCTGGCATGTAATTTATTAGATCTTTTGAGTTGCCAACTCTGATATACTTTGTATACAGTATAAAAGTAATGCATATTGCTTAAGTCATTTTTCAGCTATATGTAATTGTTTGACATACTGTTGCATTTCTTCCAGTTCATTGTATATACCATTACGAAAACCCTGGTTTTGAAACAAATACCTTATTGCTGCTATGGGGTCTGTCTTAGGTAAATTTAAGGTGAGTTTTAGTTTACATAGTTTTGTTTTTAGACGTACACATTGGAAATATGGTGCAGTATCAAGTCTACAGAAACTATAAATCTTGATTTAAAATTGATAGTTTTTTTTACATATTTAAGTAATCACAGCCACTAGTAAGCAGCATATTTCTACAATAATTTATAAATCTAGTAAATTTGTATAATTATACAATTTGTTAAAAATAAATCAACCACATTTTATCAAAAATAATGACAAAATGTATAAATTGAACCAAAATTTTTAAACGTGGTAATATTGTAAAAATAATACATTTGTTATAGATAAAAAAAGAAAAACTTTTCTTCACATCACAAAGTTTAGAAAAAAATTTAGTTTTAAATTATTATTTTCTATTATACCTGGACATTTGTATTGCAAATGTCAATAATCCTGATGGGTAACACTAGACTTTTGTTCTTTTTTTTTTTTTCACAAAGAAATCATTTAGTTAGAAATTGAAACAAAATTTTTAATCATGGTTGAGATCAGTCCAAATCACAATGGAGCCAAAGAGTGTATTGACAGTGTTTAAAGTCAAGAAATAAATGTTATTTTGTAATGTCACAAACTTAGACTAGTGAGTTATATCAGTATGCCTAATTTTTGGCACTTGTGGCTGGTCCACCTGGAAATTTTAAATGGCCTGTATGGATAGTTTACTTGTTATTTCATCTCATGCACTAAAATAGTGCTATTTTTTTGTCATTAGTTCTGCCGGAGGATATAGTTTCTGCCTGATCATATGATATTATAGTGAATTTTAATTCTTTCCTTCAAAACATGGAGATCATTGTTAGTTTATTAAATTCCCTGGTTATACTGGTCAATTCACAAAAGTTGTTTGCAACTAATCTACATTAAATTAAAAGGACGAATGCTAATTCTATTTAAAAACTAGTCAGTGAAGTTTTAATGTTAGCAGGTCAAAAGTCAAGACAAAGTTTGAGATGGAGCTCAGGAAGACACTATCTAGCTGATATGCTGTGTAGTTTCTAAAACCATTTTAAGGGTGCGTCATTGTTAAGTAATGCTCCTCAGAAAATTATGTTTCTTCAAAAAGTGGACCCGCTAGCAACAGAATACTATAGTATCATTACCAGTGTAATATAATTAGGAAAACACATTAAATTGTAATTTTTCTGTTAATTTTTTTACCAATTAAATGGGCTTTGTTTTGATTGCAATACAAGTACTTATATAATTTGTACTAATTAAGCAAAACTTTGTTTTTTTATGCATACAATAAAAAGGAGTTCTTTAGAAGATTCTGCATTTAATTAATATTTGTAGCTTAATAAATTTACTGTTAATTGTATCTGTAAATAATTTTTTCACTTACTTTCAGAAAAAGCCTTTAACTAGAGATATTTTGGAAACATTAGAAAAGGTAAGAACTAACATAGTTTGCATGCAGGTCTTTAAAGTTTTGTGGCTAGTATCTAATTAAAAAACATATTCAAACTATACATAGAATCTAAATAATGTAACATTGCAATTAACCTTGTTGAGATAGGTCTTCCTATGGCCATGGATCAAAGGCTATGTCATCATGTTTGTAGACTTAAATTCAAATTTTATTAAACTACTATTTTATGAATGTATATCAGTAAATTTGGTATCAAATTGTAGATTATAATTCAAATTTTAGTATTATACATTAGATAAATTTCTTAATTTAAAAATAAATATAAAAAAATATCTTAAATATTGATTTTTGTGTGTCACGTGGTATGTTGAATGCAGCATTGGTTCAAATTAGATGTTTGTGATGTCCAAATACAAAATCTATTGTTTCTTACAAATTAGGAACTCAAATAACTGATACTGACAAGCTAAGAAGATAAAATATGAACCTCCTATCTTTTCTAATTCCTGAGATATTGCTACATCTAGTGAATCAAACACAGTAGCCTCAGCCACCTCTTTCCATTTTTGGAAATGCCTTTCGTACACCTACTTCTGTCTAATGACGTGTGAATAACCAATCGAAAGCTCAGAATGCTGTTCTCCGAGCTTTTGCAAACTATTTATGCAGGAAACCCTTTCTTTTCATGGTAGATTCCATTGAGCTCAAAAAAACATATTCTTTAGACCCAAATACATCTTAGTTACTAAACTTGGTAAAATATAGTGGAACTCTGTGGCATTTATATAGTAATTTATGTGTTTTATTTTGTTATTTCAAAATGCATATATAAACCTAAAAAAATTATTTTGTTTTACACTCTCCACGTGCAAAATTTGATAAGGCTTAGCATCTTTTGGCAAGCAGCAAAGAAGTACAAAGTTTGTAACTAGAAAAGATAATTGTTTTCTGTACTTTTTTATTTACTTTCTATGTTTTAAGAAAAATAACTGAAATTTAAGAACTTATCTGTAAATAGTAATAATGTCTATGTATATATATATATAATATTTTATAATTGAAATGTGACTGTATTTTACAAAATACTGGTCCACTAGAACACAGCCAAGACAGGTCACTTTGTAAAGGCCAGTTTTGTTATATTGGATGCAATAATGTTATAATTTGTAGTAATTCTAGAATGAAAAAGTATAATTTATATCCATTTCCTATTTTGTTTATGGTGGTTACAAGTTCGGTAGAATCTACCAAACCCATACAAAGATGCAATTGTGGAAATATCAGATAGAATATAGTTTTTAAAAAAAAAAACGTTTAATAATTATCTGAAGGATATCAGGAAGTCATGGAGATTTTGCTTATGAAATATGTTAATTTTCTTATGCATATAAGTATTTTTAATCTTAAAATTAAAATTACTTCACATGTTGGATAGTGAATATTTGAAAATAAAAAATGCACTAGCAAATAATTATTTCAAAAAAGGATAATAATTAATTAAAAAACCTGATACTTTGTGCACGAATGCCTTGTAATGTTTACTGATAATCTGCAAAATTTCATGAAGATACATATACATTTTAAAAAATTACAGTGCTTTATGGTTACTTTCGGGAATATGGGCTGAGTGGAATCCACCCACCCATATTAGAAGGGTTAAGGAAAAACTTTAAAATCTATTATGTGAAGTTAATACAGGAAGTGATATCCTTATGTTAATAGGTCAGAAGTCATAACAATATTCCAGAGGATTTTAAATATTGGGAGTGTGATTCATATATCTACCCACTGAAATAAGTTTAGGTATAATTAGTTGCATGATGTGCATAAGTAGTTGAATCATGGACTTGTACATTTCCACTGTCATATTTTGACTTACCCAGTGGTAGCTGTTGAACTTCAAAGGGAATTTGACATAATCATTTTCATTGAAGGGGTAATTTTATGTATCATGTAGTAATACATTTTATTACAGAATACTCTACAACTTTAAAACAGTTTTTTTCTGAAAATTTTGATATTTTGTGCAAATATTGAGTAATATTATAACCTAATTTCTGTGTTTTACTGTGTTTTTACACCTCAATTTCACTAATTTGATGTGGATAAATTTAGTTAAAAGGTACTTATTTTACTATGATTTTTTTAATCTCATAAAAGAAAAAATATTAGATTTTTAAAATAGCTTTTATACTTTGCAATTACATGTAAATTGAGCAATATTCAGGCTTGTGGACTTTTCCAGGAAATCCAGGCTACCTCTGAATACAAACGAAGCACTGAGAAGGCTCATAAACATCTAGTGGGCTCACTAATTCTTTATTCTGTTCTGTTGTATGTTTTGGCTGCTGTGGTCTTCTATTTTTGGTTCTTTCCTAGTACCTTCAGTGATGGGGTGTTACATTCATTGCCTTTAATAATATTTCCAGTCTTGTAAGTTTTCTAGCTTATTTTATTTCATTAAAACTGGATATATGTAAGCTTATAGAGTGAAGTTATTTAAATGTTTAGACTTATGCTCTCAAGGGTATGTAAAGAACATGATGACAGGTAATTAATATTAGTGTAATGTTTGTAAACAAAGGTTTATTTTAGAGGTACTTTTCACAGCATTTTATGATTAATTGAGAGTTAAAAAGAACACATGCCATAGCTTTTGCTTAAGTTTATTAAGGTTTGCTTGATACTACAGACATCATATAAGAAAAGTTACTTTATTTAAATGTATATATATAAAACTAAGAGACAAACAATAGTTCCAGTAATACAACTTTATCATAGAAAAAAAAAGTGCAGAACAGAAGATCTGGTTTCTGAAATTATGTGCTATTTGTGTAATTTTTTAAATGAGGCAAGACATAGAAAATAAATATGTATGCATTGCATTTTCTTTCATATCTGTGTGTTTAGAGGGCTGAATTCATCTAACTGACAGTCCAGGGTCTAATATATTTTAAAGGGGGCCAGTGATAGAATTTTATGGATTTTAAAAGAAATCTCAAGAGTAGTGTGATCATATATATTTCTTTTACTACTAACTTATTTTTATAAATATGTTGTGTTTGGTTTACTTATTATTGTAAATGTACTGAATATTATGTATCATTTTTGTAACATGTACATCTTGTAAGAGAAAAGTTAACGAAGGAAAAAAATCATTAACGTTTTGCTTGCCCCATGTTTTCCTGGATAGCTACAGGTACTTATAAAATGCTTGTTCAGGGGAAGCTCACATTTATCAAGCAACAAATACAACAAATATATATTTTTTAAAACTTTGAATAAAGTTATATATATATATATATATATATATATATATATA